TGCAACAGCAGACGGCCCTCCCTCGCGTCTGTGCCAGCCGGGGGCTGAAGCCCCAGCGTCTTCCTCCCAGGATGCAGGGCAGAGGAGGGCAACAGGAGCCGCCACGTGAGCCTCTCCACGCGCCACACCCCCATCACAGGCACTCGGTGCCCCCATCGCCCGGGACAGAGACCCCCGGGCGCAGGGAGGGCCCGCGTGTGCTACCCACAGCAGCCGGCCGGAGATGTGCCCTCAGGGGAAGTCCCCTGGGGCGGGACTTCTGGCCTTTATCCCCAGACACTAGTGGGGAATCAATGACTAAACTGGCCAAAAATGAAAGTCCCTGTAACTCTGATCTTTTCCTTTAAGCTGTTGGGTACACAGAGTGTGGCCAAGATTATTGATAGAAAAGTTTATGGATGGGCTGCATCTTAAAATGAAAACACATTACCCAAAATCAATGTTGTTGGATGTGGTTCAGGGAGGACAGGAAAGGTCAGCTGAGACAAGAATATCAAAACCAAAACTCCAAGAGGACATGAACATTAAAGCAAATTTTGAAAGTGAGTTCCAGGAAAAACATTTACGTAGGGCTATAATTTAAGGGTGCTTTCATGAGAGGCTGGGCGGTCTTTCTAAATAGCATTTTGAAACATCTTTGAGAGTCCGGTGAATTCATGCACAAAATGGTATTGACAAGTGCTGCATACCCCAACTTGCAGCCCAATCAGAACAGCACATGCTGGTGGTAGGCATGAGTTAGGTTAGAGAGTTGAGGATGGTCACAAGCAAGCCCCCAGGCAGAGCCGGACCAGCGGTCAGGCGGGTTGGGCACCTATTGATCACATTACCCCTGTACACAGTGATCCTGCAGGCATTTCAGAGCCTGTGGACACAGAGAGGAAGGAAAAAACCTGGAAGCCAAAAGGGCAGCTGTCACTGCCTACCAATGAGCACTCGGGACTGGCCATGCAGTAGTTCTGAAACGCTCTGACAGGTCCATCCGTGGGAAACTAGTCTCATCTCACATGGCCAACGTGCTCCCTAAACAGGGCATCTTTTTTTTTTTTTTTCAAACAGGGCATCTCTGAGGAAGCCCAGGGGACACCGGCAGCTGGCAGGGCTGAGGAGCTCTGGTCCCCAGAGAGTAGTTTTCCTTTCGGGAAGCAACATACACGCTTTGTCACAGATGCCTTCTTTAGAGCTTCCAACAGAGACCCTGGCCCACCATGACTCAGTGAGGAGGGACTGGCTTCCCTGCAGGAGGGCGCCCGGCCAGGCATCGGCCAGGACGGTGGGGGCTGCTTGCTGCCTGGCAAAGGCTAGATCAAGGAGACTGAAGGCCACGACCTGCCCGCCAGGGAAGCCCCAGGAAAGGAGCAACTGCGCTCTCTGGACACTCCTGACAGGGCTCCTGGTTCCTACAGCCACAGAGTTCTAGGCACGGGTCAGACCCAGCCTGGAGGTAAAGACACAGAGAAGAAAGATACAGCTGCGGCCTCAGTCTAGGAGACAGGAGGGAAGAGCGAACAGACCCACTCAGCACAGAGCCGCCGCGCACCGCAAGCAGCCTCGTCAGGCGCCGTCAGTCAAGGGCCGAGGAGCCTTGCTGTCTGCATCAGCTCCAGGTACCGGACCTCAGTCTCATCTGGGGTGGGGCCGTTTGAGTTAAAGTTGGGACCTCAGAGGAAGACAGACCTGGTTTAAGCCTTACTTGTCTGTGTGACTGTGGGCTAGTTCCTCAAACTCTCTGAGTACCACACCTCTAAGATGGGTAAAATCAGTCTACCACACAGGAGTAGGTACCCACCATTATAGGGGTTAAATGAGTCCATCCATTCACTCCACAAATATTTATTGAGCACCAACTGTATGTTGGACCCTGTTCTAGGTGCTGGAGATACATCAATGAGTGTAGACTCTACAGATCTCTGTGCCATTATAAATAAGGATATTGGATCATCTGTTGGAAGGAAGTTGGTGCTAAAGAAAGGAGAAAAAGAAGTGCAAAGTAAGGGACTGGGAGTGCTGGAGGTAGGGACGGAGGAGTGCAGATTGCCTATTAAAACTGTGACCCCAGTGGGCCTCACGGAGATGTGACTGCTTAACAAAAATCAGAAGAACCAGGTAACTGAGGAAGGAGTATTCCAGCCAGACAGAACATCTGGTGCAAAGGCCCTGGGTGGGAGCATGCCCTGTGGGTGGCATTGTAGGAAGGAGGCCAGTGTGGCAGAGGATTCTGACCAAGACAAAGACAGAAAGCAAGAGACGAGGACCGAGGAGGGGGAGGTGGAAGGCAGATGGTTTGACCCTGCCAGTCATTGCAAGGTCACTGATGTTTGTCCTGAACGAAAAGGGAGCCACTGCAAGGCTTTGAGCAGAGGAAGAGTAATCTGATTTCTGTTTGAGGACTGCTCAGTTCTCACGTTGATAACACACGGAGGGTGCCTGGTATATGAAGAGTATGTAAATGTACAACTATCATTCTCATTCATCGTAACACCGATTTATGCTGTGGGAAAGAAAGACCTTACCCCCACAAGGTGGTACAGGTTTAGAAGATTCGCCAACCTTAAAGGTGAGCGAGGTGTCACTTCCCCTGGTTGCATGAATCCTCCCCCTCTGCCTCCCTGGTCACTGGCCCTCCACCTCGGTATGCTATCAGGACAGGAGACTGCTGCATCTCCGGGCAGGCAACTGCACAGCAGGCTAACTCCTGCCATCATAACCCTGCTTGGAATCAGTCCCCAAATGAATCTGGTTTCCTAGAATCCCACCAGCGTCCTGAGCCTGTGCAGTACAGTGCAAGTCTGCCCCCTCCCTTCAGAAGCTGAGGACAGCAATGGGCCTGGCAGGGTTTTATATTCAGTGATCCAAGGGTGGTTTCCAAAGGAAGGTGGAATTATTAAGGGAAAGCTCCCAGGGGGTGGGGGCATGAAAGGACAGAAAGCAGCTGGCAACTGCCTCTGGGGCCCCTGGAGAGAAACGGTAGGAAGAAGAGGAAGGCCCTGAGACATCCCTCCCTTCCTGGCCAGAGACCTTGGCCAACAAGGGCCCAACAGATGAGCAACAGTGGCCTGAGGACACAGGAATAACTCCTTGGCCATAGATGAGATGCTGAAACTCAGGCCTAGGAGGGGGTAAATGGACCTGCCCAGGGCACCCAGCTGGCAAATACCTAGCTTAGAAAGGACCTGCAGCTTCCTGGACCAAAGTCAACTGCTGGGAAGTGTCAGCTCCTTGGTTCTTGGGGAACCCTCTGGTGGAGCCTCCAGAGAGGCTGGGGAATAGGGACAGCAGTCACGTTAATCCATAGGGCTCCTCTCCTCTCCACCCAGGTCAAAGCTAAGAGATTAGAGATGGGGTGGAGACAGAGACGCTGAAGTCCGCTGACTGGTTTCCCTTGGTGAAGCCGCCAAGCGCAGGCGTGGGACTCGCCCCTACAACTAACTATGTGTCCCTCCAAACCGCAAGCGCGCCCCACGTTTCCCCTCGGGGACCAGACTGCTCTCCCGAAGAGGGCTGGGGACGGAGGAGGCTCTGGGCGAAAGCTTTGAGAAGTCCAGGGCTTCGGGGGATGCGAGGCCAGGGCTGGGCTCCGAAACCGGGCTGCGGACCCGCCCTTTGCCTTCCTCTCGGGGATCCCCCCGGGCACCGGGTAAAGCGAGGGCTGCGACCCATGAAGAACAAGGGGGGACGCAAGGGCCACGATCGAGGCGCAGGAACCCCACCCCGCTCGGAACCCCCCTGGGCCTGGAGTCGTGCCGGGCGCTCCGCAGCCACCCCGCCCCACCCCGCCTCTGCCGTCACTCACTGCCGCCGCTCCGGCTCGCTCTCGCGCTCTCGGCGCCTCGGGCACCTGCTCGCCCGGCGCGGAGCGCTCACTTCTCTCTCGCACGCTGCAGACTCCGGCGTGGCCGCCCGCACGCTCCGGCCCCGGCCCCGCTCGGCGCTCCGCCCTGCTCCCGGGCCCGCGGCGCCCACCCTCCCGCGCCCCAGCCCGCCATGGCCTGGGCCGGGGACAAAGAGCGGGGCAGCTTTTTGTCCAAACCGGGGTAAGAAGTTGAGGGCGGGGGTCTGCGGAGAGGGCCTCGGGCCCCGCGGGGCACAGGGATGCTAAGCCGCCGTCTCGGGCGACGGAGATGGAAAAGAAACAAGGGAGAGTTGGGGTGGGAAGACCCCCGGCCCAAGCGGGGGCGGGGCGGGGCTGCGCTCCAGCCTGAGGCTGGCGGTCCCTCCAGGCGACCGGGCGGGGCGGGGGCAGCGCTCCGGGGCGGGGGCGGCGCCGGCTGTGGAAGAGAAAAGAAGGGGAGAGAAAGAAGGGGGGCGGGAGGGCGCGGGTGATGCGGCGCTGGAGGCGGCCCGGCGCCCAGCCGCTGACCGCCCCCTCCCCTTCCCTTCCCCCTCCTCTCCCGCCCCTCCGGCTCCCGGGCCGCCACGCTGGACCCGCTCTCCCGGCGCTGCGCTGGGTCGGACGCCAGGTCTGCGCGCCGCGGCTGAGCGCCCACTCGCCCTGCGGAAAGAGCCGAGCAGGGACCGGCGGAGGCGGCAGCAGGAGAGCGGGGCGGCCGCCGGAGGAGGCGGCGGTCGGGAGCCGCAGCAGCAGGAGACCTGCAGGCAGAAGCTCGGGGCTCCGAGGCGCGCGCTCTCCTGGCCAGGGATGGGTCCCAGCGCGGCCCGGCCCCCGACCGGCCCGCCAGGCAGAGACTGAATTGCGGGTCCCCAGAGTCCGGCGGACTACCGGACAAAAGGAAGCACGGACTGACTGCCAGGAGCTTCCCGGCGGGACCTCGCGTTCCGCGCACCCGGAGCAGCGCCCCCCGCCGGAGCCGCGCCTGGCGAGCCGGCGAGGGAGCTGGACTGATTGGCGGCCGCCGGCGGCCGGGGGAGGGGGCGCCGCGCGGGGCCATGGCAGGCTCGAAGGCGTCCTAGCCCGAGCCCGACCGGATCCGAGCCCGCGCCGCCGCCACAGCCGCCTCTCCGATCCCGGATCCCCGTCGCCGCCGCGCCCCCTGCGGGAGATGGACCAGAGGAACCGGCTCGGCGCTCCCGGATACCTGCCGCCGCTGCTGCTGCGCGCCCTGCTGCTCTTCGTGGCCGAGGGTGAGAGCGGGAACTTTGCTGCCGCTGGGGTCTCGGGGTTCCTCCCGGGGCCTCCAAAGCCAGCCTGTCCCGGCCGCCGCGGAGAAAGAGGCGGAGGAAGCGAAGGGGAAGGCTTCACGCTCTCCAGCGATCGTAATGTGCAGCCACGGCCCGGCGCGGTAGGGGGTGGAGAGCGGCGAAGGGTCGCGGCATCAGTGACGCCCGAGCCCAGGTCCTTCGGAGCCGGACCTAGGCTCCAGCTGCGGCCAGGCGGCTCGTGGGGCGCCGGGAGTTGGCGCGCCCGAGTCTGGCGCTGGTAGCGCGGCCGGGCGCTGGGAAGAAGCGTGAGCCGCCCCCGCCGCCCCGCCCGGACTGGAGGGAAGCGGCCTGCAGCGGCAGCCGGTCTCTGCAGCGGCCCGGCAGCTGCTCGAGCGGACTTGGCCAGTGCCTGGGCCGCGCGAGCAGCTGGGGGGTGGGAAGCGCACGGCCCAGAAAGCCGGGGTGGCCCCGGGCCTCCGCCCCACAGCTAGTCACGCCTCTCTCTCCCCCGCCCCCAGCGACATTCACCGAAGTCCCCAAAGATGTGACCGTACGTGAGGGAGACGACATCGAAATGCCCTGCGCCTTCCGGGCCAGCGGAGCCACCTCGTACTCACTGGAGATTCAGTGGTGGTACCTCAAGGAGCCGCCCCGAGAGCTGCTGCACGAGCTAGCGCTCAGCGTGCCCGGCGCCCGGAGCAAGGTAACTGGCCAGCCGCGCGGCGCCTGGGGTGACCGGGAAGAGGCAGGCAGGGCGCCGCCCCGTGGTGCAACCCATCTCCTCCTGTCCCCGTCTTCACAGCACCTTCAACAACAGCGGTTGTTACCCGCTAGGCATTCGCATTCCCTTCACGGAATCCTCCCCTGAACTCCATGCCTAGCCCTAGGAAGCTACCCTTCATCCCGTTCTTGCCAGCTGCGGGTCCAGAGGGTGATGGGTTCCGGGTGTTGAAAAAAGACCGCTTGCTGGGGCCGGGCTTTCCCTGTCCTCTGCCACTCCGAGGTCCCCAGGGCACACGGCCAAGCAGCTAAGCTCCTCCGGGCTGGGTTCCAGAGGCTGGCAGAGCACGCTGTACAGGTTACCTCCAGCCGCTGCAGGGTCAGAGGGACTTCCCCCTCCGCCCGTCTGCCTCTTAAACAGTCTCTAGCGCTGTCTCTGTCCCTCACACACACACACACACACACACACACACACACACCTACCTTCGCTGCGCACACACTCACACACCACACACGCACTCACCTACCTTCGCTGCGCGCACACTCACACACCACACACACACTCACCTACCTTCGCTGCGCGCACACTCACACACACACACACACTCACCTACCTTCGCTGCGCGCACACACACACTCACCTACCTTCGCTGCGCGCACACTCACACACACCACACACACACCGCCTACCCTCAATCTACCCAGAGTCCCACCCTTTGCTCACATCTCCCATCGGGTCCTGTCCATCCAGCTTTCCAAGGGGTTTAGGGAAACAACATAGGGAATGGGATGCTCCTCCAGAGGGAAATGGGTCTTCCTTCCCACCCGGGAGGCGATCCAGCCTCCCTTCCTTGGCTGGCAGGGGTGCTCCGGCAGCCCCTCCTTGGCCGGGCGCCATGCTAGCTCCAAGCCCTACTTCCTTCCGGATAAAACTCCTGAAAATCCCGCTGTTCTTCGTGCCCTCCGCCGTGGCTACATCCCGAGCGGTTTCGAGTCTCAGCCCGCCTGCGGAGGATCCTCTTGCAGGAGGTGCGTCTGAGTTCCCTGAGCCTAGAGGGCAACAGCCTAATGTCTCTCTCTCCCTCTTTGCATTTTAGGTAACAAATAAGGATGCGACTAAAATCAGCGTAAGTGTGGAGCCCAGCGCGGGCCGCGGGAGACCCCTTCCGGCCGCTTTGCGCCCCGCAGCCTCCTCCCTCTTAGAAAGGCTCCTTGGCGGTGCGGTATAGGTCCCAGCTCACACACTGGCATTGTCGGCCGCTTGGCGTGTCCGTGCGCCATCTGTCGCCGGTCGTGGATCGGGTTCTCTTTTGCGTAAATCAAGGGTCCCAGGCCTGAATCTCCTTCCTCTTCCGTACGCTTGACTGTAAAGCTCTCCTGCAGGCTCCTTGCCCTAGCTCCTGGCTCAGGGCTGTGGGCCCCACTCCCGCCCCGCACGCTGCCCACGCCCTGGCGGTGCCCTCCGCGGCAGCCCTCTCCTCCGCCTGGGTTGCGGGTCGCCGTGACGGGCGCTGTGGGCTGGCTTGGAGTTGCGGTGGAGAGGAGGAGTCTTACCAGGGTTGGGGGGGACATACGCCAAGCCTTCCCCGCTGGAGATGGAGGGATCACGGCCTGGGGATGACCAGGGCCTCCTGTGCCCGGTTCGGAGATGAGGATGCCCTGGGAGCTTGGTGAGGGCCACAAAGCGGTTGCTCCCCGGCGTCTCCGGCAGCTCGCAGGGAGCTGAGCTTTGTCCGCCGCTCCACGCTGCCGCCGAGAGGCAAGTTCCTAGGCAGCAGGGACTCAGTGGGTGTGGCAGCAGCCTCTGCATCCGCTGCCTCCCAGCGAGGGCAGAGCGCTCGCTGAGAAGGGCTGGAGCTGGGAGCAGGTATCTGTGCACGATGAGGACAGAACGACTCTCCCTCGGACACCACCTCGGCCCTCGGGGCTCTAGAATGAAGGAGCGTTAGTGGGAGCGGATGTGAAGGCCCCGGGGGCGAGGCGCCGGCCTGCCCGCCCCGGGCCCTGACCGAAGCCCCGCTCTCTTGCAGACCGTGCGCGTGCAGGGCAACGACATCTCGCACCGGCTGCGGCTGTCAGCCGTGCGGCGGCAGGACGAGGGCGTGTACGAGTGCCGCGTGTCGGACTACAGCGACGACGACACGCAGGAGCACACGGCCCAGGCGCTACTGCGCGTGCTCACGCGCTTCTCGCCGCCCGACGTGCAGGCCGCGGAGGCCGTGTCCCACATTCAGAGCGGCGGCCCGCGCCGCCACGGCCCCGCCAGCGCCGCCCGGGCCGACGGCGCCCAGGAGCCCGGCCGCGGCGACAAGAGCCCGCCTCCCGGGGGCCCTCCCGCCGCCGCCGCCGCCGCGCCGGGCGTCCCCGAGGCCGCCGCCTCCGCGGCGCACAGAGCGGCGACCACCGTGGCGGCCGCCGCCTCGTCCGCGCCGCCGCCGCCCCGCCAGGCGGCCCTTCTGCGCCAGCGGCACTCAGGTAAGGGCCCCGCGGGAGGCTCTCGCCGGACGGGCCGCCCCGCTGCGGTCGGTCGCGGGCGCCGAGCCGTCGGTGGGTCATCTGCGGGGAGCGTTCCCGGAACCCCGCCTCTGCTCTCTTCCCGCCGCTTTCCCGTCCTTCCTGTCGGCCGCTGGGGGTGTTCACGGCCCGCCTTGACGGTGAGCGCTGCCCGGGGTACACGCGGCTGGAGGCGGGGAGCTCGCTCTCGAGTTTGGGGAACCGGATCTCGGGGGGCCTGCTGGTCTCCTAACGCCCAGGGTGGGCAGTAGCACCCAGTCTAGAGTGAGAGGAGGCGGTTACGGCTACAGGCCTTGTACACCGGGGTGCCACCTTGACTGGACCAACAGACACAGCTGGTCCGCTGCGGGTGGACCTGGCTGCGTGCGCCCCGCCCTACTTGGTAAGCTCCAGGCGGTCCTAGACTCCAGCTCGACTATAATGGCCACTCCAGGCTCCTTGGGCCCTCGTGGGGCCGGGGTGAGGATGGAGCCCTGCCATTGTTAGGAGGGCACCCGGAGGTGCCTGGGGCTGCTCTCCCAGGGAGCTGAGAGGATCAGGGGAGGGGGAAGGGGCAAGGAGAGAAGGGGAGAAGGGAGTCAGAGCAGAGGGCAACGATGAGGGCCTGCCTGCAGGCCGGGAGCAGGAGGCCGGCTTAGCGGTGGTGGGCTTTTACCCAGGGCAGCGGGCCTCCTGCGCAGGGTGTCCGTCCTCCAAGGCACCCCTCACTCCCCACACCTACTCAAAGGTGGGACCTCAGAGAGAGCTCAGCTCCGGGGCTCACTCCCTGTGTCTGCCTTTAAGCTTGGCACTCCCTCTCAGTCTTGTCTGAGGCACAGTCTCAGAGAGAGCATCTCTATCAGCCTTGCAGCGCTGAGAGGCTGGGCTCCGGGACAGTCATAATAAAGCACCATAAGGTGGGGGAGCTGAAGCCCACTGCCCTACTCTCATGGTTCTTAAAGTGCAGACTACCTGCCCGCAGCATCAGCACTTTGTAAGGATGCAGACTCCTGCCCCCCCCCCCCCCTGCGCTGAATCCAAGGACACCAGCATTCTAGCCTCCCTCCCTGGCCGATCGTCTTAAGCCTTCAAACAGTTCAGACCCTGCCAGTTTGTCTTCCACACTAGTTCAGTTGTTTCTCACTGAGTCATCCTCCCTGTGGAAGCTTCTCCATGTGGCTCAGGCTTTTGGCTATATCTGGAGGCTTCATCCCTCTCAGGTTCCACACAGGTACCCACAAGACCTTCCCCCAGGCTAGGAGGGAAGGCCTGTCAGCTGGGAACTTGTGAAGGTCCTCTCCCCAAAGCTGTCCACCGGTCTTGGAGCTTACCCCATATCAGTTTAAGATAACATGACGTGCTGTGCAGAACTCCAAAATGCCAGAGGCTTAACACAATTCGAATGTACCATTTCTGGTTTACATCACCGGGAGGAGCGGCTGAGGAAGGATGGCTCTGTTCCATGAAGTCATTCAGAAATTCAGGCTGACAGAAACTCTACCATCTCTAAGAGGTGGCTTCCATGCTCATGCATCAACATCCAGCCCACAAACAAAAGGAAGAGGGAATGGAAGTAGCCTTTCTGAGCCCAGTTCCCTGAGCACACCAAGCCCCAGGGTTCCAAGGCTCATGTAGCACCTGATGAATTTTTCTTACGCATTTAGAATGGGTCTTGGTATCTGTCATTTTTGGAAGACAGAAAATAGTCACTCAGATAATTTTGGTAGAGTTCAGTTCTCTCAGAGAAAAGCTGATATGGAGAATGGCAATGGAAGCTTGTAAAGGCCATGCCTAGAAGTGGTCAGTATTACTACCACCCTCATCCATCAGCCGGAACTCAGTCTGATTGTTGAACACATGCAAGCAGGATAGAAAATGTAGTCCTTGGCTTGACAGCTGTTCTGCAGTCTCATCTCTTCAGGGTGGGAGAGGAGCCTGAATCACGTGCCTAGCACCCTGGAAAAGGGTTATAGGGATACTGGGAAAGGGTTACCAGCCTAGTTACTGCTGGTTGGTGAAGAAAACTCCCTTCTGCCCCATCCCTTGGGCTCTAGCAAGTAAACGTGTGTCTTGGGCAGGAACATTCCTCTGGGATGTCCCATAGACTATAAGCAGAGCAGCGGAGCAGAGGATGTTGTGCGCCAGATATGAGTTATGTTTCCTTCTTTTACTGGCTGTGTGTTGTTAGGCACGTGACTTACCCTCTCTGAAAGTATTTCTTTTAGAAATACTTGAGTAATCCCTGACCTCAGAGGGAGCTCAGCATAGAAACTGCTCTATAAAGTTTACTATTATCATCAAGGCCATTATATTCTCTGAGCGAGGAGGAGAGGGTGAGGGAGATGAAGTGAGTGGCTGGTGGTTGGAGGCCAGGCTGAGAAAGGTCTTGAATGCTGAGTGGAGCAACAGGAGCCATTGAAGCTTTCAGTAAAGGAAGCCCCGTGTGATAAGAGGCCATTCCTGCTCGATCTCCCTCCTCCCTGGGCAGAGCTTGACCCCTCAAGCCTCATCACAGCTGACCTGACTGTGCCCGGCATGGCTGGTCAGAGCTCCAGTCTCTGGGCCTGACTGCAGGGTAGCTCCAGCTCCAGCAGGGACCCAGCCACGGAAGTTGGCATGGACAGTGCCTTCTTTCTGGAAGTCCTCGAGTCAGCCCCGTTCTGATGGCACCTGCAGCCCAGGCAGGGGCTCCTCCGCCCTCCCTGGAGTGAGCAGCAAGACTACTTCCCCCAAGAAAGCAGAGTCGGCGGGGCTGCCAGCAGGGCTCACAGGGTGGCGCGACCGGATGGGGTGTGCTGGCCCTAAGGCCTCTGTCACCCCAAAGCCATGGTTGGCTCCTGCACAGATCAGAAACCATGCAGACACATCGCAGAAAGAGCCCCAGGTTCCTCACCAGCTCCTGTGTGCAAGCCGAGGAAGGTGGGCCCTCAGCTGGAGGACCAAAAGGCCTGTGTCCTCTGTTGTCCAGATGAAGCTCCAGGGAGAATCACTGTGCTGCGGGCCCCTCTGTGTCCCGCTCCGGGTGTAAAGAAGTCAGTCAGAGGACTTCTAATCCACACATATACCCGAACAGCTTGATGCCAAGGGGGCACCCATACTGTCTTCAGTGTCCCAGCCTGCCTCACCACTGGAGGCTGCTGCGCCTGGGGGCTGTGGGTGGGATGAAGGAAGCAGGCTGGGTTTTGAGTCATGGGTACTAGTAGCCTTTCTGCAGGGCTGTGTTGTTGAGCAGCTCTTAGTCTTGCTGAGCCTCTCTGGGATGCAGCAGGCAGCCGATCACTCAGAGCTAGCAGCAGTGTGAGTCAGAGAGGGAGCTCACGGTGATGACTGCGGGCTTGCTCCCCACATCCACCACTCTCCTCACCCCACTCTCGGTTCTCGGCAGCTTAGAGGGAAAAGAATGAGAAAGGACTGTGGCCACTTGGTTACCAGGCAGGTGTGTCTGCAGAGTGTAACAGAGAGGGTGCTGGTGGAGCAGATGGCACATTCGAGCAGAATCTTGGAAGAGAGGCAATGAGAGTATTTTTTAAAGGTGTGAACAAGGTTAGGACAGCCAAGGATGAGAACTGGCCCCCGGCCCATAGCAGTGGGAATCATTAGCACCTTTGACCAGGAAGGGGCAACTAGCAGAATCCAGAGAAGTCAGGTGGACTGAGAGACGGAAAGAGCTGAGGCCTTGGGAGAGGGATGTGGCTGACCCCCGGTGGCCTGGCAAGACCTCCCTCTTCTGCTGACCTCTCGTCCCCTGTCAGGCTCTCCCAGGAACCAAACCCTCCTGGGAGCTGAGGACAAGGGCACCCAGGTGATGCAGCCTGTACAGGCCAGCTTCTCGGGGCTCAGAGCAGAGTGGGGAAAGGTGAAGGGTAGATCTGGAGCGACAGAGTCAACAACCCAGCTCTCAAGGGAGGAAGATGCATTCTGCACCAGCCCCAACACCAGGACAAACCCAGAGTTGAGTTCCTAATTAAAGAGGTCATCTAATGCCTGAGCTGAATGGATATGCAGTGGCAACCTCAGAGATGGTCCCAGCCCAGCTCCCCAGTCACCTGTTAAGCAGTTGCTCCTGGGAGAAAATCAGAAGCCCCAGACAGCACTGTGTCACTGTTTTTAAAGCAAGCCTCTTTGCTAATGCCAGCAAAGGGGTGGGGGGACTTACTCAAAGATTGGTATTTCAGCTTTCTCACAGCCAGGCCAGAAAAGCCTTCCTGTGCCCTGTACATGCCCAACAGAGCCAAATACATATTTGCACTAAAAGTTTATGTTCAAAAACTCATTCATTTCACGTCTCATTTGTCAAGAGACATTTTGATATTTGTGCCTAAAAATAACATGGGCTGGATTAGCACAGCAAAGCCAGCACAGGAGATTGGGGTCCTTCTTAGCCATGTTCATAAATCTGACTCCTAATTAATTTGAACACTGACCTATTTTTCATGAACACTTTGCTGCTGGTTGCCATGTCTAGAAGAAAAAAAAAAGAGAGAAAACAAAACAGTATCTTCCAGACAAATCCTGCTACTGGAAAGTTGCCACAGTGAAGCCAAGTGTGGTCTCAACAAAATACAGTTCGCAACTGACTGGCTTGTATGTTGGCAAGTGGTTCCCCTTTGCAGGGACCTGGGGATCAGCTCCGTGGTGTGTGAACCTCTAATTAGCCTCCAGGCTCCAGTTCAGAGAAGAGCCACCCTGGCCCCTGCAGAGAGCCAGCTGGATGTGGCAAATTGCTGCCTGGTACCCACCCAGAGAACTGAGTCTCAATATTTCAATTAATAATGAGAGAAAGACAACCAAGGTCATAGGTGTGATGGCTTTAGAGAGATTGCTACCGCTGGGAGCCATCAAGGGGAGCATCCTTGGAAGTCACCATGGCAACTGTAAACCATGGCCAAAGAGGGCTGTGGACAAGGTGAAGGGACTTCCTCTCAGCCCGGGCCCCTGGTGGACAACAAAGCCAGCAGCAATGCCAGTGTGACCAGAGAGAG